ACAGCAATGTAAAAATGCCATTAAACCGTCAGGGACGTGCAGAGGAGGCTGTGGGGACCGTGAATGATGTGGAGGGGCCGTGTGAGGAGCGCTGAGGGCACGGGGTGTGCTCAGCTGGAGAAGAGGAGGCTGAGGGCAGGACCCATCGCAGTCACGGAGAGGAAGAGGAAGAGGAAGGGCAGCTCTGATCTCTCATCTCTGCTCCTTGTGACATTGGCAGCACCTGAGGGAATCCCTGCAGCTGGGCCAGGGATTTAGGATGGATCTCAGGGAAAGGTTCTTCCCCCCAAGGGTGCTGAGCACTGCCCAGGCTCCCCAGGGAATGGCTCCCCAAGTCTGTGGTGCTCCACGAGAGTTTGGACAACTCTCCAGGGTGGGATTTTTGGGTGTCTGTGCGTGGACAAACTTTGGACTTGATGATTATCAAGTTCCAGCTCAGGAGATTCCTTGGCTGTACACTGGAACTTGTTGGTAGAGACTATGCATCAGAAACATGTGGCCACTAGCCTTTCCAGCTGTGGCACCACTGGAAAAAGGCACTGTGCCAAGGATAGCTGGGTTGATACCTTAAGGCAGAACGAAAATCTGCCACAGGGCCCCACCTGTGCAGGTTCCCAACACATTTGTGTAGCACATGTGAATATCACATGATGTGGAAGAAGAAAGCAGAGAACTCTCTAAAACCCTGGGAAGGGCTTGCTTACATTATTAAATGTGTTTGATTAATAACCCTTATTCCTGGAGTGCAAGGATTTCAGTTATGTCTGGCAGAGTTAATGATCCTCAGAATATAAACCAACATGCAAATCAAACCCTTAAATCTGAGCCCTTTATTGCTCGAAACATGAATTTTCCTGGTTGGATCTCTTTTCTTTCAGTTACTTGAGTGGCAGCCAGTAACAGTATTGTGTCTAATGTCTTAAATTCCTACTTTTTCCATCATGCAGTCTCTATCTCATAATCACAACAATGCATACTTGTATATATCATTCATGTATATATCTTTCAGTTTTTCTTTTTTGTGTTGTGAGGGGTTTTCTTTCTCTTTTTTTCTTTTGTGTTTGTTTGTATGTTATTTGTTTGTTTTGGGGTTTTTTGTTTGTTTTGGGTTTTTTTTTGTTTGTTTTTGAGGTTTTTTTTGTTTGTTTGTTTTTTGTTTGAGGTTTTTGGGTTTTTGTGGGGGTTTTTTTTGTGTGTTTTTATTTTTTTATTTCCACTTGGTTTGGATTTTTGTGTCGGAGTTTTTTTTTATTTTTGTTGTTGTTTGATTGGTTTATTTGGTTTTTTTCCCCTTTGGTTATTTTAGGGGTTTTTTTTTTTTTGTTTATTTTTTGTTTTGTTTTGTTTTTGTCTTTGATTTTTGGGTGAAAGAGCTGTACATTTCAGTTTTTGGGATATTTTCATGGATTCTGACTTGTTCTAGGCTCTTTTATTATAGAATCACAAACTGGCTTGGGCTTTAAGGGACATTAAAGATCACCTAGTCCCAGCCTCCCAGCCATGGGGACTTCTCCAGCTCTCCTGGAGCCCCATCAGGCCTTGGAAGGGGCTGTGAGCTCTCCCTGGAGCCTTCTCTTCACCCCTGGCTCTCCCAGCCTTGCTTCAGATGAGCCCTTGAAATAAATATTCATTCCAATCAGATAAGTAAATAATGCAGGCATATTTAAAGAACAGATTACTGTGGGTATCAGCACAAAATCCAGTCCAGGACTCTACCTGAGGCAGACTTTCCTGGTTTTGGGTACTTTATGAGTTTTGAAATGGGAAACTTTTTTTTTTTTTTTTTTTTTTTTTTTTTTTTTGCTGCTGGGTAACTAGAATATTTTCAGGCAACCACAGCTAATTAATATCAGTTTTGCAATAAAACAATAATATACAGTTAGTAACATTGCTAATGATCTCTTTTATAGTTTACATATTAATTATTTATATGGGCAAAAGGTCAACAAATCTCAGAAATACTCACAGGGTGTTTGTTGATGTGAATGATAAAATACCAGCTTTGAGAATGTATCTTGACTGCAAAATCAATCACCTGGCTTAATTGATTTGGCAACAGAATATTAGACATGAAAGAAATACAAGATAAAGAGCTTTGTACAAGAGAACCATAACGTGGCTTTCGGAATTCTTGACAGTGTAGAAGAGACGTGCCTTGCAATGAGGTCATTTTAATTTATCTCTTTATGATAAATTTGACAGACTTCTTACTTGATTTACAGTGAGTTCAGAATTGAATTGCTAAACTTCATGAAGCAGAGGAATTTGTATCAAAGGAACGCTGTGAATTGAGCTAAGGAGATATTGTATATAAATGTTAAATTAAGTCCTCCACTGAAAATCCCACAGTTCTCCCGACTGCAGAGAGCTCTGTGGCTGCCTCTCACAGCTCCCATCCCCAGAGACCCTCTGAACACCTGGATAGGGTATCTGATTTATCATCCCATCCTAAAACAGATTATCTGAAAAGGACTAAATCTCATTCTCCCCCAAAGAATAACTCTTCACACAAAGTAGTCTTTTCTCAAAACACTTCAGATGCCTTCTGAGGTTGTGATGTGCCTGGGTCAGCTGTGTGAGAGATTTACTTTTGTCTTGAAGTTGACAGAAACACTCTTTGCTGATTATCAGGATCATTAACTAACACTATAACGTCTATATTTTCAAAAGGATGCTGTGGACCCAGCAAAAAACTCTGATGAATCACTCTGTGATGCACCAGCTGTATGTTCCTTGCTCATTAATTAGGTGACAAAAGATGGCATTCCATCCAAAACTTATGCTCAGCAACGTGTTTTTCCTTGATGAGAACTTGTGGTATTGTTTCCTTCTTTAACAAAGGTCAGCTCCTTGATATTTGATGGAAGAAGTGTTGTGTGCCTCGCTGATGCCTCAGGTTTTGGCTTTCATATTCTTCAGGGTCTGTGCTGCTTTAGTGTGTGGGTCTGAGCTCCATATCAGGGGATGCTGAGCTCTCTGCACAGAGCAGGGAGACAAAACAATTCCTGCTGGGGACCAAGGACAAATGATCCAAATCTCAGCCCAGGAGCACAAACAGCGTGGGCTGGAGAGAGAAAAACAAGCAGGATGGGACTGCCTGGGCTGAAGCTGGAATGGGACAATGAACTACAAGGTGCCAATGGAGCAGAACTGATCCCAGGGAGAGCCCCCGGGAGCGCTCGTGCATTTTGGGGTCATTTTGGTTCATTTGGGTGCAGCCCTGGCTGGGCTCTGGTGCTGCCCAAGGTGGATCCAAGGAGGAGATCCTTTAATAAATCCCTGCTTTATTCTTTAGCTCTGTACAACCTTCGCTCTAGGGCAGCCTGCACAAGGCATCAATTTCTGGCAACCCAGATGGGGCGAAGGCATCTGGAAAACTCCCTGGACAGAGCCAGAGGAACGTCCAGGTCTTGCCATCAACGTGACAGGTCCCATGATGGAGCATCCCTGAGCACATGTGTTCATGTGATGGGGTTTTAACACGAGCTCATCCACGTGGCTGGACAGCAAACACTCATTTCCATGCTCGCAGTGGAGGAGGTGGAAATGGTTTAAATATTTTCACTAGATTAAATCAGTGGCATTGCCCACATCACCCACAAAATTAACTGAGGGTGTGGCCAAAGTTAATGGAATTCTGTATCCAACTTCCACTCTTTGGAGACATTTTCCTCTGAGTATTTCAGGGGCATAACAAACATGAAGATATTAGCTGAGCTGGACTGTATTGCTCCTGGATACTTCAAATTATAGACAAGTATCTAAATGGAGCAATTAATTCAGGTAGGCTGGATTCAGTGCTTAGTCACTGTGATCTGAATGACTGAACTAATTGCAGTAAGTGAAACTGGTTTCTTGTCTATTTCCTTGAGTTTTATACCTTCTGCAACAGCTGGCATCCAAATACATCGATAGCATAAGATTTTAAGAGATGTGCTGTTTGCTCTTGGTTTAAGAACAATTCATGCATAAAATGGAAACTCCAAAATTTCTCTCATGAGCTTCTCCTCTGACCAGCACTTGTTTTGAATGAGGTTTGCATGTGAAGAAACCCCCAGTTTCTAATAAAGTAACAGAAAATGCAGACTACATTTATAGGTTAGCACAGGACCTGCTCAGTTACTCACAGATTAATATCCCTCACTAATTGGTTTTGATTGCTGGTGGGGTGGAGTGAGAAGCTGAAAAGCTCCTGACTCTGTGTTAGGACTACCCAGCAGTAACTAAAATATCCCTGAATTATCAATGATGGTTCCAACACAAATCCAAAACATGGGCCCACACCAGCTACTGTGAAGACATTGAACTCTGTTCCAGCCAAATCCAGCACACCCAAACTTTCTATCCCCACACGGTTCATTGTAAGTTCCTTAACAACACGCTCTAAGATGAAGATACTGACCTGCTGTTCCAAATCTGACCTGAAAATAGGAAATACTCTCCAAATAAATTATAAGAATTAGAAAGAGATCAAGAAACTATATTTTAAGCAGGGTTAAATTTATATTATATAAGTCTGGAGGTTCTGCTTTTGAACTTAAATACTGTGATTCAAAGCATTTCTTCATTATTTATAAAGACATATGTAAAGAAAGATGTAGAAGACATATTTATCCAGAAATGTCAGGGTTTTTTCCTTTTTTTTTTTTGTTTTAGCATTAATCAAAGCAAACCCACAAACACTATTGAGATAAGAAGATAGTCCTACTACTTCAAATACGCTTCTGCGTTAATTCCCTGCAAAATACATTTACCTTGTCCTTGCCATGGTCTAAAACCTGCATAGCAAATCATGTCCTGTTGTGTCCAGTGGGTTGCTAGTCAGGTCATTTTCTGAAGGCAGCAGCAGCAGCAGCATTCTGTGGTATTAGCTTGCTCATAATATAAAGGCAGAGTCTGATATACTCCAGAAAACCAGATCCGATATTAATCCTTAACAGTGCAGGCAATAAAAAGGCTCTTATCTATAAATACAATAAAATTTACCATGTGGAACTTACTGTGCTGGCAGTGAATCCCATTAAATCCCTGTGGACATTTACAAACATAGCCTATGAATGTGTCGCCTCGGTATGCTTCACTAATTTCACATATCCCACCATTATGGCATGGATTGGGAAGGCAGGGTCCTGAGAGAAGGGGACAAAAAAAACAGAGAGAGGTATGTACACATCCACAATAACAGCCATAATAATTTCAGTCATTTATAAGCATTCATTAAGGAAATAAAATGCCTTACACAGGCCTTTACATTCCACAAACTCAGTAAAAGACACCCTTCGCTTACTTCAGATAACTTGCTAACACGGATTTTTATGAACAAGAAAAAGATATGCAGTATGTCACTACTCATTAATCATGGCATTAGCTTTTAATGTGAGAGAAGACAGGAGACAGTGAGGCTAAATCTTGCTCTTCTGTTAAAGATAACAGGCATTCTAGTTTTTGCAGCACTGAGGGAATAGGTATTAATCAAACATGCCTATCATGCACAGAGTGACATGTACAGTGTCCCTGAATGATCACTACATGTCAAGTTAGCAGTCTGAGGAGATCTTTGCTATGGCTCCAGGTGACTTTCTGAAATGTGAGTCTCTGGGCCAGTAGTTAGCAGCTACCAAACCAACTATTCTTTTCCACTCAGTGCCTCTGCAGCCACCTGAAGATGATTTGAAAAATCTCTTCTGGCTAAATTTTCTTTTTCCCCAACACACCACATGCTAGGATGCATAAATTGTCAGCACGGAGATCTGCTAGAATTGCAATTACTATAACTTTAAGTACCTTTGAAAAATGGAATTGTTTGACCTGAGGTCTAGAGTTTACTTATTTAACAGCACTGGAAAAGAGCTACTTACGTTTTAATGTCTTACTAACACTACACACAACACGACTTCTACCAGAAGAAAACATTATTTTGATGATTTTTTTCCCCAATCTCATTTTAAAGAAGTGGTAAACATTGTTTAGAAAGCCCCATGTGCAAGTTTGTCCGTGATTTGTAAATTCAATATAATGTTATTTGCAACCTGTGCCATGTACCCTGAAAGGTGATAACCACTGCTTTTTGAAATGCAATGCCATAATCATTCACTTTAAATTGCACTTGAAAAAAAAAAAAATACCCAAAGCAAACAAAAGAGAAAAGAAATCTCTGAATTTACTGACAACCAGAGCTGTGCATTTCAGAATTCCAGAATCACAGAGGTTGGAAAAGACCACCAAAACCATCAAGTCCGAGCTGTACCTGTTGCCCACCTTGTCCCCAGCCCAGAGAACATCCAGGAATTGCTGGGACACCTCCAGGGATGGGCACTCCAACCCTCCCTGGGCACTTCCAAGGCCTGAGCTCCCTTTCCATGGGGAAATTCCTGCTGGTTCCACCCTGAGCCTGCCCTGAGGCCGTTCCCTCTGCTCCTGTCCCTGTTCCTGGAGCAGAGCCCAACCCCCCGGCTGTCCCCTCCTGTCAGGAGCTGTGCAGAGCCACAAGGTCCCCTCTGAGCTGTCACTACTGGACATAAAATGAGCACAGAAGCTTGGTAAGTTCAATAGAGAAAACGAGCCCATTTTATTCCTGACCTCACAATATATAGAATTCCAAAAGTGACAGTGAATTAGAAGATGAAATTGCCACCCCTCCAACCACACTGGTCAAACCAACAGTCCATCAATTCTCCCCTCCCACAAAGAAGGATGTAAAACAATTGTTATTTACATGAACACTGCGTGAGAACTCCAGTAGAAATATATAAACCTTATCAGAAGGCTAAAGAAGTTTTACGAGAACTTTAAAACTTTCAAAAGAACTATAAAAGAAAACTTAACTCTTTTAGAAATCAGGGCAACACTGAGCCTCCTTTTCTCCAGGCTGAGCCCCTTCCCAGCTCCCTCAGCCTCTCCTGGGGCTCCATCCCCTTCCCAGCTCTGTTCCCTTCTCTGGCCACTCTCCAGCCCCTCCATTTGTTGTTTGAGTGGCCCAGAGGTGCCCCCAGGATCTGGTGTGGTCCCTCAGCAGTGCCAGCCCCTCTGTGACCTGACAAGTCCCCTTAGTGAACCAACAAATGAATGAATAGAATGATTTAGACTTTAAAGATCTGTAAATTCAACGTTTCTGGGTGTCTGCCTGTTCATGTTTTCAATTACAAGCCGAGGCTTGAAAGATTCTCGCAGCAGCTCCATTCATCCAGACGTCACATCAGTAGTGAACACCTCGCTCTCCAAGCAAATATTAATTTGCAAAGCATAAAAATTAACTGAATGATGAGGATGTCAGAACATATTCCTCAGTTATTACTGCCCATGTGGTTATTGCAAATTGAGAAGCCACACAGGTGCACATTTCTATTACGAGTGTTGTCATCAGCCTGTTCCAAGACACAGCCCTGCAGAGGTTTTGCTCGTGTACATCATTAAACGTGGGCTATGTCTCACTGAACCAAAAAAAATAATGGACATGAATGTACTGCAGATAATTCCAAATGGTATTATCAGCAAAAAAGGGGCAAAAATCATGAAGATGGAAAGAAGGAGGATGGCTGCTGCCTGATTTGCCTTTTGCCACACACACTCTGTATTACAATTTAGAATGTAGTGGTACACTACATTCTTAATTTTGGGAAGACTCATGTCTTTCAAGTATTAGTGCTTCTATTCTTTAAAGTATTACTACTTCATGCTATTTCTCCTTCACAATAATTTGTGAAGAAACCTGTCTAATAATTTGCACTTTTAGCCTCCCAATAAATACAAACTGAGGGTTTTTTTTTGTTTTTCCCAAGCCTGTAACACAGTCCTGCAGTTTAGGGAATACCTGCAGGCAGCCTCATATGTTAAGTGTTTCTATTCAAGCAAGATCTCTAATCTTCCAAGAACAATAAATCTTCTAAAAATTACTTTCCCATTTTGCTTTCTGGCTTCTCTGTATGGCTTGTTAAGCACACATTCAGCCTACTTTCATCGATTTTCTTTATATTTTGCATTTCCTCAGATCAGTCCAAACTGCAAAGGCTTAAAAGGTCATTTAAGGTGCATAGTGATAAATATACTGGTGCATGACAGTCTTTCTAACTAATGTTTTTCTTCTATGAAGCCTTTCTTCTGTGAAAAAAATCCAAACAAAACACGCACAAAAAATATGAATTTTTTTTTTCCTGATTATGGTTATGGACAAATAATATTACTACTTTCAATATAAATATTGAGTATTTTTCTTTGTGTATTTTTGTTTGCTTTTGTTTTTGCTGTTCATAGAAACTGGTAGTTCAAAGATTATTTTTAGAGAAACAAAACATCCTCATTAATTGTGCTCAAATTAAAAAAATGATAGTCACATAGTTTGGACTAGTTAACATTTATTAATTGATAAAGACATGGGTCAGACTAACTCTGTGTTTTAAATGAATGAATGATTGAAAATTAAAAAGCCTGTGCCACCTTACTATTGCTTCTCCCAACTCTTCAAAGGACCAAAATTTAAATTCACACATTGAGCTTATTTAAATTGCATGAACACCTTAAAAGAATTCCTCAAAATTAATTACTTAGTTAATGAATTAATTTTAACTCAGTTTTAACAGGATCCCTGATGCTATTTCTGCAGATTTAAGTGTCTTGAAGGATCTGGGGCCTAATCCTGCCATCATTCCACTGAAGCACTAAAAATGTAATGTGCAAGATCTGGGCACAGATGGCACATGAGGAGAATCCCAACCAACTTCCATAGGGATGTCTAGGCTTTTAAACACCATGGTACTAAATTCTGGGTAATCAATTCTGTGACAGCCTGATTAATATGGTCTGTAACTCAGATCTATGGCAGCAAGTCCACAAATATCATTTCTTACAAAAAAAAAAAAACAACCAAAAAAACCGCACCAAAAACCAAAAACACAAACCAAAAAACCCCAACAAACTAACCAAAAAACCCAACAAAAAATAGAAGAAAACCAACAAAATAACAAACCGAATATGTCAACTAATTTTCAAAAAACAGTGGACTCCAGGGATCGATTGGGTTTTTTTAAATCAATAGTGGTGTAATACTTTTACAGGTAATCTTTAAGTGGCTTCCAACACAAAGAGAACAACAACATTTGATCAATATTAATGAGCAGAGGAATTCAATGGTGTGGTTTCCAGGCATTTTTATCCATGTTCATATAAAATAATGTCAGCAAGATTAATTGTACACTCAAAGTAATAGATCTGTTCACTTTGCTGCTCTTTTGAGTCCTTCTTTGTTCAGTTCCAGGGGTATCAGCCAACATAATAAGTATAGTCCAAAATACATCATCCTGTTATTCAATTGAAATCCCATGCTGTTTTCGAAAAAAATATTGAAACTTAACTTAAAGCATAGCAGGTTTTAAATTTGAGATGCTCTTATGAAAACCTCTGAGACTTCATAGATATATGAATCAAATAAATGCATCCTCAGCAGAGCTGCAAAGGGGCTCAAGGCAGAACCATGTTATCTGTTTTCTCCTTTGACAAGTAGGGTCAACTAAAAAATAATAATAAAACCTTGTATCATGCCATGCTGCAGTGAACTGCATATTTGAGAGAAACCATGAGTTTGTCTAGAGAAGATAAAGCCAGGAGAGCAAGGAAAACAATTCACTGATAGCCATCTGCCTCTGAAAAAAACAGCATAAGCGTTTGTTTTTGCCAAATATAAAATCTGCTGATGTTCTGGTGGGAAGGACATTAAAAAATTACAGGGGATGTCATTAAACATGAAATCAACATCAGGCCATCTTCATCACACAGCTGGATTCCCCTAATTCAAAAGTGTGCTAAAACAGGTGATCAAAAATCAAAGTCCTCTTTTTCTTAGTAAGTCAAGCTGAAGTGGCAAATATAAAAAAATATAAGGAGAAAATAAAGGAAAAAAAGCGTACTCCAATGGAATGAAGCACACCAAATAACCACATTTTCACAAGTAAAATCAAGTAAAATGAAACAAAAAATGTTAACACTTTTGATGGTATCAATCCATTTTCTCTTCATGTAAAAATGCTATGACTTTAATGAAAACCATTAAATTAGATATTGACCTTAATAAGCATCAAGGTAAAGACACAAAGCTAATTGCTTCATTTATTTTGTGGAGTACTATGAAGTAGGATTA